GAAGTGGTGATGTCCGCACGTCGTTCCAGCAGTTTTATGCTGGGTAGCCCCATTTTTTTGCTCGAGCCTATAGTATTTTGTTCCAAGGTAATTTTACGCGCGTGTATAGTCTACTTAAGTTTCTTTGTGTAGTTGCGCAACGCACCAAAGATCGATTGCTTTCAGCTTTGTTTGGGTACCATTGGCCGGCAGGCCACCAGGACGCTGGATGGCACCACGCAGGACTGTCTGCAACCGATCAGCTCCACTGTGGATTCTGTGCTTTTGATATATTTATCTATCCTGCATAATTCTCTGTTTATTCGTCCCCTCCATGCGCCAGGTACGCCTATTAGTTGATAGTGCATGAGCTTTATAGTAGTAACGAGTACTTCCAATCCTTTTGACTAATTTTACTCCATTACATTATTTAATAAGCGTACTCGCGTCCCTTTTCATTCTTTCTACATGTATATGCATACATGTATAGCAGTGGCGTACCGAGGGGGGGGCGGGGGGGGGGTCGCGAAATTTTTGAAAGTTACTTACATGCGTTATAAAAATGTGCAAATGACTTGTTTATTTTTGTAAACAATTAAAATAATTTTTAAAATTTTTTAAAAATTCAAATTAGCCTTATAAAAAATTTTTTTTCGGGGGCGTGGCTCACGCCACGTCCCCTTTTTCCAGATTTTAGGGGTTGAGGGCCCGCAAAATTTTGAGAAGCCCCCCTAAAATTTTTTCGGAGTGCGTGGCTGACGCCACGCACCTTTATTTGAAATTTTTTTGCCGCCCCCCCCCCCCGAGCCGAAATCCTGGGTACGCCACTGATGTATAGGTATACGTAATCGGATGCTCATGTAGATTCTAGCATATTTTGTTCATTTCGCATTTTCCTTTTTTTGCATGGCGCCTCCGAACTGTTGCAGCTGTCCAGCTGCTAACTTCTTTCGCGAATGAGCTTTTTTGCGGATCGTGCATGTTACAGCTGCGAATTAGTAGTCGCGATCGTGATCACATTTTGCCTTGTCCACTTTGTTAACGTCTTCTTGCTTTAAGATAAATTTTTTGCTAAATCGGAGGGATGTCGCAGGTGTTCGGCTGTAGATTTCTTCTATCACATAAGTCTTCTCCTCGGTTAGCCATTTTACAGCTACAAATTTGGTAGTTTTTCCTTTGCGACACCTGTACCACCATTAGCCACTGAAGTCCCTCCCCCCCCCCCTAGACGGTCACTTTGCCCATGAGGATCATAGCGGTCGGCTGCTTCCTCATTTGCCCTCAGTCTTCTAAGACTCTGGCTTAGTCTCTAGCGCTGGTCTCAACACTCAGCCAGCGATACTCTTCACTTAGCTGTCGTTTATCCTTGCTAATGCTTAACTCTTTCTCGGATTCTTGAGTGTCCGTCTACTATGGTGCTCACCTGCACGCGTTAGGCACCTATCTTTTCGTTCAATTCCAAATCTTCTACTTTCCATATTGAGCCCACTAGTAATGACTCATCCCTTGTCTTTGCGAGGTATGCGCTTTACACGCCGCGCAGCCGCAAGCTATGTACTTTGGAATTTTCGCAAGCTGGCATAATTGCGCATCTCAATCTCTTCGCCGCAGGGAAAACATTTGAAATAAAACAATAGCATAAATTCTTTTCTCATGCTGGCTTGATGGGAACCTAGATTGCGTTGCTGATATGCGCGGAGCGCGTGCAATCGGCAAACTTCTCGCACATTTTCGTTGCTGCAAATGGGGATCAAAGCTTTTGTTTTGAGAACGGTTCAAAGCGTGCGTTATCTTCGCTTACTCTATATAAGATACTAGTCCAAGTATACATCACGCATTTCCCAGTTTCCGTCTTTTGCTTTGCCATTCATTGTGAACAATCAACTATTACTTTCTAAACATTTGCTTTCGCCACTAATTTGTTTTGAAGGCATACTCAGCTCAGTGACTAATGAGCCCTGTGACTCGATCCCAAGCGCACCTAGAGCAATCCAGTCAGGCAGACAGCAACTTGCGTTAACTCAACATCAAGCCGTAGATCATGATCTCATTGGTTACACTCATACTAGCCTCGAGCCGCCTCCAGCAACACCTCAAACAATGCCCTCATCAGTACAACACACGTTATCGATAACGACGAACTTCTATTTCACCTTATGGTCTCCCAACCCGTATTCTCTAAACCGATATACATTTTATATCGTGTTCCAAGCTTCCAAACATCGACGTCACCAACATCATGCCCGTCAAAGACTATCGCCACATTCCTCAGTCAGGTTACCTTGGGTATAAGTTCACCAAATGGTTGTTCCCATTCGTAAATCCCGAGCGCCGCAACGAACAAATCCCAGTCATCGAGCTCCAAACCCTGGAAGCTGCCGTGCACTTCCGATGGGATGCCATCCGTATCCGGGATCAACTACTCGATAATACCTATACCCCCCCCCCCCCCCACGGAAAATCAACTTCCTCTCTCACCCGCCGGCAAGAACCCCACCCTCGTACGCCCTCCTATTGCGGATCAAGGACGCCGTCCAGTCCTCTACCAAGTGGTGGAAACCAATCGCGGCCAAGGCCTCATCTTGGAAGAAAGACTTTTTTGTCCCAGGCCCGGATCTACCTGAATTGCATTGCATCAGTCTTGAACAGTTCGCAAAAAATATCCAGTCAAACACCCGTGGCTATGACAAAACCTTAGTTTCCCAAAGATCTGGTATGGATCTGGACCATCGAGCCCACGCCTCAAGCCCTCATGGATCCTCAAAGAATACTGGAACGTGCTCGCTCCCCTCGCTTGTATACTCTTGATAACGACGCGGCTCTCTTCTTCCGCGCAGCCACGTTCGCATTTGTGACACCAGAGACCTGGTCACACAAAGTTCTGAGTACGGTTCTGCGAGTCCTCACTAAAGGTGGAAAACCGTTTAAGTTCACCGCAGCGTTTGCCGACGCGCCCGATGCCGTGTATATAACCTCAGCCCTAACAGATTTCCCGACCACGCACATGGTCGACGACGAGATGCTCATCGCACAAGCACGGTACAACTCATCAACGGCCATTCGTTTCTCTGAACCGGCGGCCTCTGTCGAAGCACGTAAACTTCTATGCAACTTGATACGATACACAGTACCTTGTCATCCCAGGGAAGGAATTCTTCCGTTGATGGTCCACAAAACACCTTCGACCGCGCATGGCTGCAGGACCGCGAAGGTCCTTTCCGTAACCACCGGCTCGACCCCCGCGAAGCAAGGATACGCATGAGCACAGATCATCCGCTGGGCCGAGCAACGAAAAGCCGTTGTCCCCGCCGCTGACCTGGGCAGGTTTCTGCCAGCTGCATGACGGTAGGATCTTTCCTTTTCATTCTGCACCCCCCCCCCCCGCATGATTTTGGTTCTCACCTCTTTGTTTTAGTCCGAGGACGGACTTGTAGAAAAATGGGGGAGGTGTAAGAGATCCCGTTGTGTGATGTGCATAGCTATGATTCATCTGTTCAGGGTAAGGCCAGACAGTTCGCTGCATCGTGAGTCTTCCTCCCCGAGAGCCTGCTAGACGGCCGAGCCTCACCGTCTCCCGCTGATGCGGACCCTTCATCGTATCCTCCACCGACCCACGCCATGGACCACTGTTGTACCTCAACCTCGTTATATCGCTTATTGTCCTTCTATGTGCCTTACCGATAAAGCTGATACTCGCTTCTTATTTATTGTTAGTTGGATAGCCGCTTCCACGGCTCTACGTTTACTCGATTTCCTTCTTCCACAACCTATCAATCAACTTACCTTGTATCGTTTGCACATTACCTTTGATGTTCATCAGCAGAATTCGCTGATGGTGAATTAACCACCTAGTTTCATCGCGAAAGACAATCGAGAGAACAGCATACGATCCCTACCAGATGTTAACATCACATCGAGAGGTCTGCGAACACATTTTCGTGTAAACAACCAGAAAAAGAAACTGTATAAACATAATAGGATTGAACCCGATGCCCATTAGCGCTTCATGACAGATTACATTGTTCGGCAACTTCCTCTCTATCACCGCGAGACAGCAATGTCATCTCATTTTTCAGTCCTCCTGATTTTAGTGAGAGCTATGCATTGCAATAATACATCAACATCCTTTCATCACTGATGATATATAATGTATAATATGGATAAATTTGCCCCAAGCTTTGCTTCTCTGCAAGCGGGATGTCCATGAAGCGAAAAGTCTCCTACTCGGAAGAACACCAACGAATAGGAAAATCATTTAACAACACGAATTGGTTTTTGACTCTCTGACTAGCGTGTACGTTAACATTCCAAATGTTCACACAAGGATGCAAAAGAAAATACACGTAGATTGCCATATCTACGAACGTCATCAAATGTGTCAAACACAAGTGTCTGGAGATAGTGCGCTCCAGTTGAAAAGAGTTGCTCTAATCATGGCGATGGAGCGCACCTGCAACTCCTCCCAGTCCCGAGCCCTTTTACGGGCGTTCCTCAGGTGGGCATTAGATGGGCAGTTGCCCACCTAATTTGGAAAAAAGTTGAGCACGCTCTTCGTTCACATAAATTTTTCATGATTTTACGTACTTTGTTCCCTAGTCCTACTGCGCGTATACACAACGAATTTCGCGCAATTTGTCATCTCTGCGTTGCGAATGACCCACTTTTCTATTTTCTTGATAGTGGGAAATTTTCAGAAAAAAGCTTGCCACAACCTTCAGTCACATAATTTTCCAATGAAACTTCTAAGTTAAGCCCTGCAGGCCCGTGTTCATGTATCTACTACGTTTCATACCATATGGTCATCTGTGCGCTGCAAACGAGCCATTTGAATTCACATCTTCATTTACCAGCTTTGCAAATTTTTTGGAAAAAATACTTATTACTCCTCCCATTCACATAAGTTTTTCATAATATTTCATGCTTTGTTTCTATAATACTAGCCTCTCTTCGTTCGCTTACATAAATTGGTGCTATATCGTTACTGCATTGAGAACTGATCATGTAATCATGCCTTTCTAGTGCATCGCTCATGCGACGTCGCGCACGCGGCGATTAGCGGAAACGCGGCGTAGCGCGCGCGAACTTTGCTGTGCGTTGAAGTTTATGAAAACTATTTCCCAATGAATTAGATGTATAAGGTAAGCATGATTCAACCTTCTTTTGCTTGCACTTGGAATCTTCTTCCGGGGCTCCGCCCGGATCCCGCAAAAACGATATCCCCTTTGCTTTTTGGCCTCAAAACGATTTCCAGCTTGTCATTTGCCCACCTCGTGCCGGGCCCTGGTTTCAATGCTCTCTTTCTTTTGCCTTGACTGATTTTAAGAACATTTTTAATAATGTTATTTGCTTCACAATTTTTTTTTCAATTTGACATCTTACCGACACTAGTCACTTCTCAGTTCTTATTGTTAGTAGATTCTAGTGCTCGATCAGAAGAACAAAACGAAATGGCGTGTATTTAATGTCACAATCATCGAAAACCGATTGTTGACGTCTTCCTCCTCACTTTGAGAATTTTCTTCCAATCAGTGATTGATAGGTGGCAACGCATATGTCTTACGTACGAGTGACATTCTAGTATCATTCTGACAGCTGACTTCCAAGCAGTCTTCCGCACGGCGGCTTGAAAGACGAGAAATTGTGCCTGCTTTGACTAGATTTGTAACAAGAATTTCAAACTTGTGCTGCATATGGCACCATTTTCAAAAAGTTTCAGCTTTTTTGATGTGTGCTTGGTTGTTACAACTTGACGATTCTTTTTGTACAAAAATTAATCTAAAATATTGATCAAATACTTATTGCCCAAACTGAAATAATGGACAAAAATAGGCTGCATACACATTTAAAACCTTATGAGATGCTCAATGTGAAGGAGCTTATTTGCCGGTTTAATAAAAAACTGAATATTTGTAGTTTTAAAACATATTAGATTGGCTAATAAATAAGTTCGGTTTGACTTGCGATTTCGAAATCCCATAACAATTCGAGTAGCAGCTGATCAGCTAAGATTTCCTTGCGAGGAAGTAGCTTCAAGCCTCTACTCTCAAACACCAAACAGTAGAAAAATTTTTGCCTCCGAATAGTGATAGTTATTCTCTTATATGGTCAGATCTCTAAATTGCCCCTTTTCTGACTTTCAAAGTTTCGTTCTCAGCCTATAGTCAGTGCAAAACGACTAATTTGGTCGTTAAATATACACAACCTTTGGCTCCATGGCGAAGTGCAATGGAAATTGTGATCTGCTGTTTGTGAATTTTTGCAGCCAAAGAATTTCCAGGCATCTGCGCGTGAAAGTGAAGTCGTTTTTGAGCAATCAAGGTTGAATTTGACCATTTGTGGCGAAAAATGTTGGATATTTTAGACTTTGTTATATGTATGCCAGTTGTGATTTTACACCCGGCTTCAACTCGTTTTTCGGAGCATGATTTTTCGAAAATGTGATGAAAAAATTTAACTATTCCACTTTCCTGCACAATTTTGTTGTCAAAATAGTGACTGACGCTTAAATAAAGTTGACCATCCGATCATTCTTGATTTGCTCCTTCCAGGGTGCCATACATTCATGAATCAATTTGTAAATTTACTACAAACCGTTAAAAACGTATAAAACTTTACAAACTAATATAATGATGACATAACATATACTAGGTTGAAATACAAGACAAGTTCCTCGCAAACAGAACGATGTAAAAAAGTAAGGAACATATTATCAAATAGAGAAAAGCAAGATTCACAAATTGGTATTTGAACACGCATTGTTTTGGTTTTTGTAAAGTCTGGAGGTAAAATTTGTAGTAGTTAATCTTGAGTGCTCAAAAGTCGGACATCATTTCAGAACGTTTCTGCAAACCTGCAACATTCTCAAGCGTATGATGTGCAAATCAAGTACTCATGTGCATAATCGCTATAAATTTTCCATGGCTAGAAATCGATAAGACAAAGATTGCGAGCTGCCTTCACAAAAGTGAATCCAATTTGCAACCTCCAGGAGAGTAATCACAGATTTTCAATATTCTATCAGGGTGTCTCATAATTTTTTACTGTTTTTACCTTAAAACATTAGCATTTCTCGAGAACTGGGGCACCTACAAAGGGTACAACTACATGGTCGTACTTCTGCATGCATAAGCCATATGAACGTGTGTGGGAGGAGCTCAGGACTTCCGGGGCGGAGTTTGCCATTTTACCCCATTCATTTTTTCTTTATTTCTAGCCGTGGAAAAAATTGAAAAAAAAATGTACAATTGAACATTCAATGTGTCAATCATATGCTAAGATAAATGGGGAATTTTTAAGATTTTCTGGGACCGAGAGAATTTTTATGGTAAGGTTCGTTTTTGACTACTATCATATTTTAGCTCAAGAATTCACGTGAAGTGGGAATTGGGCAGTCTGTTGATAGATAACTTGTAGAGCTTGCTTTGCTCTGTCGAACGTTACTCAAGCCACATCAATTGATGGAAAGATACAAAAAGACAATGGTCGTAATAAAAACAGTAAGAAAATACAGACATCCTAATGCAAAGATAGTTTCGTGGAAATCAACTTTAGCATTTGGAAAAAAGAACAGAGAAAGGCGTTGATTTTTAGTTGTGGTCTATTTTTGGTTATTGATTTCTAGCCGTAAGAAAAATCAAGAATATGTACTTAAATTGACATGAAAAATTTATCTCATATCTTTCATCTAGATGTAGCGCACTTGCCTCGATTATATGAATCAACCTAACAATTCGCTTTCCGGTACTAGAAAACGTCCCAAGAGAAATGATAGATTTCACTTGGAAACACTTTCAGAAAACATGCATCAAATGCACCAAACGCGATATCATTCCTAATGAACTTCGAAAAACCAAAGTGGCAACTTGTTCAGAATAATGCCTTATTGTGAAATTTTCAGAACTGCTCATCAAGGAAACGGCGCGATTTTGATTCTCGTTCACGAATTAGAAAGTTAATCTGAAAAAATCCCATTAATTCGTGACAAAGCATTTGGTTGTGGCGAATGACTCAAATTCAGCAAACGCGACGTTACACATCTCAAACAATGACCAAGCTGGTCACTTTTCTTCGAGCGCAAAGGCACTCGTTTATCTGTGATTGATCACGTCTCCTTTTGCATCTTCTTGTACCCATTCTTCAAGCAGAATCAATTCCCTCTATATATATTTTGAACTTATTTGTTTATTGTAAAATGAGTTTTTGCATAACACGAGATTCAGCCTTTTCAGATTTGACAGCGGGTGTAGGGGAACGAACTCCGCCAGATTTGTGCCGCTTCCGCTGACATTTGGTACTTTTGCAATGTTGCCGCATGTCGTTGCAGGACCAGTAGTCCGCGGAGGAGGCCCAAACTGGCAGAGTTCGTTCCCCCACCCTGACAGCAGTCTCGTTTATTTCTTTCTTCTCAACGCTCAAAACTAACCTATCTTTAAAACTTTTGTCAATTATTTTCCAAATAGTGTTCTGTGATTATTTTTGATAAATATTCGCTCATAAAAACTCATTATTTTTTGAATCCTGCTTTCTGCTTGCGCTCAAAAGTTGCCAAGAATTATGCATGACAATTTACATGCGTCTTTTATACTACAATCAGCGAGCTGCATTATCGTCCCGTCTTCTTACAAAGCGAGAATGAAAATAGACCACTTGCTCCGATTTCTTCGAAATGACTGCTGTAAGCACCGAGTAAGGACTTATTTGCGATTTTATTCAATCTCGTAATCGCATATAAAGGAAGAAATCTTTTTAGGTCTTTCATCAATGCGGAGCTAGACTTTGGACTGGATATGCTTCGGCAAGTGCCTGCGAATGCTCAAACGGTTGTCTCTCCTCTTTCCGTCATTCTTGCTCTGGCTATGGTTCAAGCAGGAGCGAGAGGACGAACTAGAGCACAAATAAATGAGGCTATTTCTAATGGTGAGACACCGTAGCGACACTATTTTTGTCCACGTTACATGTCAAAGGTCTTGTGACGAGAAAAAAAGAAGTAATAACGATAAAAAAATCACATTTACATTGCGCATGTGGGTATGAAGGTGATTTTAGTTATAAAGATAATCGAATAGTAATGGGGTACTTAGTTGTGTTGAACACTTTTTAAAAATCACTAACAATTAGGAGCACCAGTAATGTTCAGGGCTCAGCACGAGGTGGCTAGTTGGAAATGCAAAAAAAGCGAAGTCCCCCTTGACTTTTGCAACTTTTTACGAAGTCCCCTTTGATCCTAGACCATAACCCCTAAAAAATCTTTGAGAAACGAAACGTCGACTAAAAAAAGGTCGCAACTTTTGTGCACTTTTCGGTTTCAAAAACGAAACCCCCTTTGCTTTTTGTCCCAAAAACGATATCCAGCTTGCTTAAAAGCCACCTGTGCCAAGCCATGGTAATTTTCCTGGAATTGCCAAAAACTAAAGAAATGTCATGACATATCCATGTATGTACATATTGGTTACGACTGTGCGTTGGTCTTCCCAACTTGTAGATCCGCTCGTCATAAAACCAACAGCATTTGCAGTCAATAACCGTAGGTAGACTGTACAGTCACTATTTAGATGAATGATATCCGTGGTCTATTATCAAGGAGAAGTACACAAGGTATCAGGTTGTGTAATAAGTTTTTTCGCATCTTTCCTTTTGATTTTTCGTATTTTGCACAGTGCAGAACGTATATATGCATTCGAAAATTTCAAGCGTCATTAGCAAATTGTTTACTCCAGTTTTCTGTATCAGGAGAAATTTGAAAAGTTATCAAGCATCAAATTTGGAGAACCGAAGAGGGAAAAAAACTTCTTTTCGACAACTACATTAAGTCATCTTCCAAACAAGTCAGCTCGCGTAAACAACTCCAAAAAATTGCTGAAATCAAAAGAGAATGTGTAGCTTCGGCAGAAATTTAGGGAAGCTAGAAAATGTTTTAAAATTTCTGCTGTAAATTCAAAAAGTCATTCTGCATGACTGATTTTCGAGATAATAATAAAATGAAATGTCCATCTTTGAAAATGGCAGTTTTTATAGCTTGCGAATTCTGGGAAGAATCAGGTTAAGTTGCACATTTATTTATTTATTTATTCATACGCACTTCGGCGTGCTATCAATCGAACAAAACAGCTAACATGAGGATACTAAGGAGAGCCGCAATGAAAATGAAGTAGTAAACACAAAACAAAACAAGAAAACCACCGAATATCTTTTTCTGATCAGCACATAAAGCTACAACATACGGGTGGGACCAGAAATAAGCTGAAAGGACATACTACCGATTAGTGTAAATTCCAGACTAAAGAATTCGTATATCCACTTACCCTCGCCAGCCAACAGACATGAAAGTGGCCCAACAGTGGGAGCGGGAGCAGAAGCTCGGCCAACGGATACGCCGGCAGCCCCCACCGACATACCCAGACGGGTACACTGGTAGGGGGCCACAAGCATACCCGCTCACCAAACCTCCGCATCACCCCCACCATCCGGCCACCACCATCCTGGTGGGCAGGGGAGGGAAAGCAGCCTTAGGAGGATAACTAAAAAGTGCCTACACTAACTCATGTATGCCGCCTAGAGCTTACTAGTCTACCCACAAGAACACACATACGGTACTCGGGTCTCAACAAAACAAGGTGATCATGCATACTCAACAGGTCTAGTACGACCTGAGCAGAAACTAAAGGCAGAGAAGGCAAGGTGCTAGAATTTATAAAGACAACCAAAAAGGAAAAAAACAGAGCTAAAATAACAGTGAAGCAATCGGAAAGAAAGGAAGTAAAAAGTAGTCGGGTGGATGTAGATATTATCATTTGACGTCTCGCAGCTGAAGTAACTCAAGAACATCGATCTTGGACAAGGCTTTTTTGAAAGTGGCAGAATTTTTCCGAAGTAGAAGTGCAGGGAGCAAACACTCAATCCATTCAGCTGTTCTGAAAGCAAATGTGCTTAATCTGCGTTGCCGACATGAGGTGGGCAGCTTAGGGTAGCGAAAAGCAATGAGAGAGCGCCTTCCATAAACAGGACGAAATGACCAAAAATTAGAAGGCTTCAGGCGAAGTTCGCCTTTGAATATTTTGAATGCCAAAATCAAATCCATTTGAACTCTTCTATAGTACAAACTTTTCAAGTTGAGCTTTTGCAGACGGGTGCTATACGAAGGGAGGCTTTGCGGATAACTTTCATCCGGAAAAACATGATAGTATAGTACTCTGGTAAAGGTCCTTTGTATGCTTTCAATTTTTTCTATATCTTTAGAGAGATAAGGACACCAAATAGAACTGCAATACTCAACCAAAGGTAAAATGAACATTTTATAAAGCCTGATCCAAAAAGACGCATCATTACTGTATATATTTCTGAATAGACAGTGCATCACCCTCAAGCTTTTCCTTACAATGGAATCAATACGATTGCTGAAGCTCAGACCTTTTGATATTAGAACGCCAAGGTCACGAACTTCATCAACAACACTCATGGTGCCGAGATCGTGGTTATCGATCTGCAAGCAGTCCTTTCCGATAGGAAAAAGATGACTTTTATGAAAGTTCACATTAAGATGCCATCGTCGCGTCCATTCAAACATGCGCTGAACAGCTTCGTTAAGCGCAGCTTGAACTTCAGTTTTATCATCCTCATTATAAATAGCTGTGACCTTGATGTCATCAGCATATGCATGGACAAAGATTCTTGTATCAGTTTTCAAAAAGGAGGGAAGGTCATATGTATATAAGAGAAAGAGTATAGGAGAGAGAATGCCTCCCTGGGGTACCCCAGAAGGACATTCCCTCGGAAAGGAAAAGTCGTGAGAGAAACGCACTATCATTTTTCTACCACTTAGGTAAGAGCGAAACCATTCGAGCAAGCCACCACGTATACCTATACTGTGAAGTTTGGCTAAAAGGCTTTCATGACAGACCTTATCAAAAGCTTTGCTGAGATCAAAGTAAACTACGTCAACTCCTTTACCTTGACTCAACGCCTTATTCCAAAGGTGCTATCTATCAGTTGCGTACAGCTAGACGAGCCTGATAGAAAGCCATATTGTTCATTGGGAATGAGTTTGATAGTATCAATCCACTCAAGCAGATTCTTTTTGATGAACTTCTCTAATACCTCAGTGGCGTTGGCAGTATGCTAATCGGGCGATGATTCGAAATAAGATTAGAGTTTTCCTTCTTGGCGATCGGCGTAACCACTGCCGCTTTTCAAGCCAGGGGAATCTCACCCGTCATTAGCGATATGTGTCAAAGGTAAAGTAAGCTGTGCTGCAAACATTTTGAAAAACATTTGCGGCACCCCGTCAGACGTAATCGATTGCGATGGCTTGAGCGTTTTAAGATATTTGAAAACAACTTCTGATGTAATGATAGGCAACTCAAAACTCTGCTTTGTAAATTCATTCAAATTAACAAATGGTTCATTTTGTCTTGTGAATGTACTCTCGAAAAAATTTGCAAAAGCTTCAGCTTTCTCAAAACCTGTGCTATATTTTGACCCATCATCGCCGAAAAGCACGGGCAAGGCAGGTGAACACTTCGTTCTATATCTGATATAGGAAATTATATGTTTCATGTACTTGCTATTGACTAATCTTCTTATCCTATAAGCCATACATCTTTTTAAGTGATGGTCTAATTTTTTGCTTATGTCTTTGTAGTGGGCACAGTTCAAAGGATCAGGCGTACTGTGAAACACTCTTTGTCTCTGTTCCAGAAGATTCAGGATATGCACAGGGTACTTGACAGTGGCATTATGCTTTTGGGTTTTCATCGGGACATATCTCTTCATGATGTCATGCACAATGTAGAGAAATCGATTGTAGACGTCATTGACGTCTCTGAAGTTTCTGAATACTTCATACCAATTGATGGCAGAAAGTGAACTCTCAATTTTGCTCACATCGGCACTCTTGAAATCAGAACATGGCAGGAATTGACATTCAAGAGTAGGCATAGAAATAGAAAAGCCCACAATGTTGTGATGGAACGAACTCATTGGTGGGAGAATGGTAAGATTGGTTAAAAAATCAGCATTCGTTAAAACTACGTCCAATATGTGCCCTCCCCGCGTTCAGAGATCAACGCATTGCGTTAAACATAAAAGCATCAAATGCGGAAAGGAATTTGTACCCTGTGGCATTGGAGGCACTTTTATTTGCCCAATCAATCGAAAGATTCAAATCACCCGCCAGTATAGACCTGACTCTGCGAGAAGAAACAAGATCAGAAATTAGAGAGAGAAGAAGGTCATCTGCCCAGCACTGCTCTGCGGCGGTCGATAGACCAAAATAAATCTATATCGATCGGCACTCGTCAAAGATTGTAAGATAAAATCAAAGGAAATAACATCGGCCGCGAGATCCCTTAACTTGAAAGAGACTTCCTCGAAAAGAATGCTATGATGGATTAAGGCGCAAACTCCACCACCCCTCTTAGCCTTGCGGTCTTTTCTGAGCAGAGCATATGGAAAATCAGCACAAATTTCACCATTAGTTATGTTAACGTTCAGCCACGATTCAGTTATGAGCAAAAGAGCCGGTTTATAAATAGATAAAAATTGGTGGAGGTGAGTGAGCTTGTTTTTCAGACTTCTAGCATTTAGCAAAAAACAAATTCTGGGAAAGGTATCAAGAACTTTCAGTTTTTTGAAGCCCCATTTCTGTAAGGGATCTCAGCGGCTTTGACAACTTCTCCTTTGTAAACAACGTAAACCTTCTTATCTTCTTTCTCGTTCAGTTCACGTGCGGCAATACGAAGTTCTCTTTCGCGTGTTCTTTCCTCTAAGGTCATCGATTTGCGAATAAAAACGTTTTCGTAGGCTGGGCTGTTTTTAAGGAGGCGAGAGTTGGATAGCATTTCTATGGAAAGAAATTTGCTGGAAAATATGCTTTTTACTAATCTAGGCTTTCCCTCCCTTCCCTTACCCATTCTGAATATCTCAGTGGGGCGGGATTCGACGTTCAAGTGGTTTAGCATTCCGTAGATGAAATTCTCAGTGTGCTCTTGCCTTTTGAGAGCAGGTAACGTGGGGTCTGGTTCGGGTACGCCATAGATAACTAACGATCTCTCCCTTTTTCGGCCTCCACAACCTTAGAAGACAACATAGGTAACTTACTTATTAGCTCCTCGAGTAGCGGGACAGCCTCAGGTGCTTTAGCGCTGATTATGGAGTGGATCCGATCAAGTAGTTGAATAGCATCTTGATCCATGAGGGTCATTGCCTTAGCAGCAATGGGGGACTATGGCTTTCTTTTTTTTTGGGAGTTGCGGTGGGAGTGGACATGACCGGGATCGATGAAAATAGCCGCACAGCGTGATCGCTGGATAGGGACTGATCGCTGGATAGGGACTGATCGCTGGATAGGGACTGATCGCTGGATAGGGACTGATTGCTGGATAGGGACTGATCGCTGGATAGGGACTGATCGCTGGATAGGGACTGATCGCTGGATAGGGACTGATCGCTGGATAGGGACTGCGATGGGTAGTTCAAAGGAAAAATCTCTGTCGTATGACAATCGAGCCTGATTTCACTTGCTGTTTTTGATCAAAAAATAGATATTATGCTCCTATGACAAATGAATGTTGAGGTAAACAAGTCACTACCCGAATTTCACGGGTACAAAGCTCCCGTTTTTTTGAATCTCTACCACTCACGTTCAAAAAGACGCTTAGATTTTGGAATCAAATGAGACTTTCAGTGCTGCGCCTTAATTAAAACAGTTGTGCGGGAGAGTAAATCCTTCCTCTAAGCGGGGTGACGTCGAGCTGCTTGCATTCAATGAAAAAGAAAGGACGTCTTACTCCTGAAATCAGAGCAGTACCATGTTTTATGCGTTACCAATAAGCTATTATGGACTTGATGATATGATGAACTACCTACTGCTCCAATACTACTGATAATCCATAACCGCTGAAAGCAATCAACTTTGCATTTTAGCAATTATAAAAGTCAAGGAAGAGCCCTTGGCTGTAAAAATGTTAGCTTCGTTTCTATGTTCTAAGCTCGGCTTTAATCAGTCATTAGGAATTCTGTAGTGTGCAACATATGCATCAAGACTATTCGATCAGCGCAAAAAATATGGCTAGGACCTCAACAGCATCTTTTCTTTTATCGGCTAATCCTCTCGACTTCATCAAAGTTTTATGAGTAAATTTAGGAGCAGACAATGTTGATATAGAGAATTTTTACTCGAAACTCTCACAAGATGTCTTAAATGCTACCAACGATGTCCAAACAAGGATTGCAAACGCGTTTTACATGGAGTATGTTTGGCAATCCCTTTTCCGGTTTGCTTACATTAAGTTGAAACTGTTCAGTAAACGCTACACTATTGAGAAACAGTACGAAGCCACAATCAGGAAGAAATATTCTGCTAAGGTGGAAGCGCTTGATTTTGAAACACCAAAGGCTACTGCTCAGGTTAGGCAATGCGGTATGGGTATGATGTTGAGTTCTATTTTCCAACTTCAAGATTATCGACAAGTTTATAAGCGACACAACAAAAGGAAAAATAAAAAATATGGTTGATGGGAAGATGGTAATGGGTGGGTGTACAAGTGCAGTTGCCAAGTAATGTACTCAAAGTATCTTTAGATGTCTTCTCGCTCATTGTCAACGCGATTTACTTCAAAGCCAAGTGGTTGAGGGATTTTAACAAGGATTTGACGAAAAAGGCGACTTTTCATTGTTCGGAGAATAAGATAAAGGAGGTGATATACAGAGTTTTTGATTCACTAGCGCAAAACTATTTCCAAAAGAAAGAAACGGAAAAGATGAATAAAAGCAAAGCTTATCAAAAGCAGAAAACCTGCAAAACCAATAATCTGCAAGTCTATCAGTTTTTTATTGCAATGGATTTTCTCAATGTAGATCAACTGTTCCAAACGCGTGATGCACCATAATGATATGTATTCTTGAGGATGTTACAGATCCTATATACTCTTAAATAATTCAAGCCTGCATTTCAGATAGAATTCATGAATGAATATCAGGAAAATCGTCTATATACTGAAAACGATGATTTGCAAGTCTTGACGCTTCCTTACAAGGACACCACTTACGCACTGAGTATACTGCTTCCTAAAAAACGGTAACATGACTTGAAAGCAGAGCAGGCTTTTGAAAATCTGTTTAAAGGTTTGCTCTTGCTGAAATCAGGAACAAGATCACTGGATCAACACTTCGAGAATTATTGAGACAAGTGAAAATGGAGTTCGTGACGGTAGGGACAAATTCCGTTACGTACAAGTTTTCACATTTTCCTTTACAGATTTCCATTCCAAAAATGAAAATCGAAACAGAGTTTGAGCTGAAAAAAGCATTGATCTCGATGGGTATCACTGAGATGTTCACTGACAATGCTGATTTCACTGGAATCACGAAGCGACCTCCACTCAAGGTCTCCGATGCAGCGCACGGAGCATTAATCGAAGTTTGTGATATAATTAACGGCAACATCCGAAATAGTCTGGAAGTACATCATTGTCTCCCATCTAGGAGTGAAGGGTGGGGGGGGGGGGGAGGGGAAGGTGAATTACTTTTTTTGTTGAAAGAGTTGTATGGGAAAAATCCGCTTTGTACACTAGCATCCAATAGCCACCTTGTAGCTCTTAGAAGCAGCGTCCGGGCAAATTGGACATTATAGGATACTAGTTGACTTTCCCGGTCCAGCCCGGGCCTTGTTCCGTTCACCTGCACTGCAAGCCCCCACCCCCTTATATGTTATTGGTGGCTTACCCTGGGACATCCGTTTTGAAACCGCATCCTCGTGATCCTGATGTAAAAATGAGCTTCACCGCCTTCCTTTACATGTTATGGGAAAATGCTTGACTGAACATGATAAGCCCGTAAACAAATCAATAAATCGATGGAAGGACCACGGATCGCCGCAAAAGGTAGCCTATCATCTGCGCAGGGGTCAAAAACATATGTGTGCAAAGTTTCAACTGAATCGGTTGAGCGGCGCGCGTTTCTATAACGCACATACCCTCCAAACTGACAATTTTTGAGTTTTATATATATACTAGCTGATCTGCCCGGTCCAGCCCGGGAATGATCACTGATCGGGAATGAAGATAAGGTATTCGGTGGCATTGTAGAAACTGTGTAAAGTACAAAAACAAAATGTGAACACTTATTAGTCGGTAGCATATCTCTCTTTCTCCAAATCAAGTTCAACACGCAAAACCTAAGCAAGCAGCGCGAGTTAATTGATAGCAGCGCTCATTGTTATTATGAGGATCATTTTTTGTGACACTTTGCCGTTAACCGGCTACTTCATCTTCATTCACTGCTTGCCGTCAATTTTTGTGGAGTCGGCAGTACTTTGCACTCGCACACTTTCCTGGTCCAAGGGATCAACTATAGCGAATGTGAGTTGTCGCTTGTCTTGACATTATTTCTGGTATTGACAAATAATTTGTGCGCAATCTCATGAAAAATTTTGACCCCTCATTGTTTAAATTGAGCATGTAACGAAGAAAGCATTGATTATAAGCGTAAATTGAGCACGCTTCCGTGCAAAACACTCGCTACAAAGCACTCATGGTCTCTTGCACGCTAAGGTTTCCGCATAAGATACATTTAGTGCATCTATTTAAATGAGCAATTGAGACTCACATCAAGAATACTTTTCACTGCACTTCGTCAACAGAAGTTCACAATGAGACATGCCAGCCTTGTTTACATACCCCTGTTTTGATAGCAAATGATAAGAATCATTTTTGTTGCAAAGTGCTGCAAATCAATAAATCGATAGAAGAACCCAACGAATCGCTGCAAAAAGTAGCCTATCATCTGCGCAAGGCTCAAAAACATATGTGTGTAAAGTTTCAGCTTAATCGGTTGAGCGGCGCGCGTTTCTATAACGCACATACCCTCCAAACTGACAATTTTTGAGTTACATATATATACTAGCTGATCTGCCCGGTCCAGCGCGGGAATGATCACTGATCGGGAATGAAGATAAGGTATTCGGTGGCATTGTAGAAACTGTGTAAAGAACAAAAACAAAATGTGAACACTTATTAGTCGGTAGCATATCTCTCTTTCTCCAAATCAAGTTCAACACGCAAAACCTAAGCAAGCAGCGCGAGTTAATTGATAGCAGCGCTCATTGTTATTATGAGGATCATTTTTTGTGACACTTTGCCGTTAACCGGCTACTTCATCTTCATTCACTGCTTGCCGTCAATTTTTGTGGAGTCGGCAGTACTTTGCACTCGCACACTTTCCTGGTCCAAGGGATCAACTATAGCGAATGTGAGTTGTCGCTTGTCTTGACATTATTTCTGGTATTGACAAATAATTTGTGCGCAATCTCATGAAAAATTTTGACCCCTCATTGTTTAAATTGAGCATGTAACGAAGAAAGCATTGATTATAAGCGTAAATTGAGCACGCTTCCGTGCAAAACACTCGCTACAAAGCACTCATGGTCTCTTGCACGCTAAGGTTTCCGCATAAGATACATTTAGTGCATCCATTTAAATGAGCAATTGAGACTCACATCAAGAATACTTTTCACTGCACTTCGTCAACAGAAGTTCACAATGAGACATGCCAGCCTTGTTTACATACCCCTGTTTTGATAGCAAATGATAAGAATCATTTTTATTGCAAAGTGCTGCAAATCAATAAATCGATAGAAGAACCCAACGAATCGCTGCAAAAAATAGCCTATCATCTGCGCAAGGCTCAAAAACATATGTGTGTAAAGTTTCAGCTTAATCGGTTGAGCGGCGCGCGTTTCTATAACGCACATACCCTCCAAACTGACAATTTTTGAGTTTTATATATACATAGATAGATAGATAATGACAGAGTACTGAGGCCTCGACCTAGAACTATCGCAACAGTCCGAGTTTTGTACATTCCCTACAAAAAAGAAAATCGGCGCAAAAAACGCCGATCCTTGAGGACCACGCCTACTTCCTTACACGGCCACCCCCTTGAACGAACTCTCGTTAGCCCTTGGCGTGTTTTCACGTGGCAGACACAGTGGAACACATAGTGCCTACCTGTTAATGCTTGCTTCAGGCAAGGGTTGCATTACATGCACTCGTCCACATTTCTCACAAAATTGTTCCAAAATGGGGTTTTTGAGGAATTCAAGAATTTTGAGTGCCATCTTTGGAATCAGCGCCATGAAAAAGCCTGGATAAGGCAAAAAATAGAAGTCAAAATTTCGCCTGGACGCTGCCTTTATGGTTGGGCTAGAGTGCACAGCGTACTCAGTGCGAAGTGGGTCGGATCAAGTGGATCAGCTATGGGTGTACCTTAGTTGCTATGTAGATAACGGTATTGAATCGCTAATAACTTAATATCAGACTGGTGCTTAACACCTTACGACAACTCGAATTGTTACTTCTCTTCCCTATGGGGTAGAGGCTTTCACGGTTATGTTTCGGTTCTTGAGGCTGTCATTTAGAGTACACCTAAAGTAGTTCAAAAAAGCTGCGGAAGAATAAAAGCCATTTCAACAAAATTTTTGTGGTTTGATCCAGATGTGGGTCACCTGTCTCACATGGCAGTCGTTGTTTCATCCATCAAGTTGGTCAACTTGTTGTCAATGTGTTAAATAATGCGTATTTTGCAGGACCTCACTTTGACGACCTTACATCTAACAAACAGCTTATCTTGTAATTGCAAGACAGATATGAGTGCGAATGGGAAAAAAACTTGGCTGGAAAAAATTAGCAAAAGGAACATTTCAAACATTTTGTTAAGAAAAGAAGAAGATTTTTGACCCTTTCTGTAGTAAACCCTAAGATTCCAAAAGAAATTTCTTCTGGCATACTGAACCGGCTAGGTTTTCTTGCGATGAGTTTGAACAAGAATGCACTACTCTAACGTTCATAAAAATAAGCTAAGCCTGTTTATTTCCCACGTTTGACGTCGATGAATCTGGCATAATTAAATAGTTGTATTATTTCTTGCTGAGCTGTGCCAAGATGGTATGACCAAGATTTATTTAGCTAACATTTCGGCGTCCACACCGTCTTCGAAGACATCTGCGAGTAGAGCTCATGTGACTCCGAAGACGGAGTGGACGGCGAAACGTTAGCCAAATAAAACTTGAACATCGCAACTAAGCCTAGATTGTTTTTTAGGAGATGTTCCAAAGCCATAGTACGTTTCTACATGCACACATTTGGAGCGTTGGTTTCCAACAAGAAAGTAGTCAGAAGTCGAAGTGGCCAATCAGCAAATCTGCATACTACTAAATGCAACATGGAACGTCGACTCCAAATCTGTCCTTTGTACAATACCACCCGTAATTTGTGAAAAAAATGGCGGCGGCACTTAACTCACGCGGCGCCGTCGCAGTTAGGTGACAAACGCCGCTTCGCGCGACAAAAGTCGGCAGAAAAGCGGCATTTGCCGCCTAACTTTGCCGCGCAACGCCTAACTTTTTTATAAAAAAGACCTTATCTTGATCCAAGATTTATGAATTCTATATATAAGAGTACCATTCAACGCAGCTCGGCGAGGCGCATCTTCCAGTATACAGATGTGCCTAGTTGTGGGATTTCTAACCAAAAGCAACAATCCCTTATTTATGGGTCAGTTTGCTCAAGTATAATACACCGCCCACACTCTATGTAGCTCTCTTTGGCTGATTTTGCTTACATTAGAATAACCTCCGAACTATTCGTGACTGTATCACACCAAGGTTTTTCTTCATTTTGATTAGAAAAATATTGAATAAAATATTAACAAATCTGCAACTTTTCTGAATGGAGATATAAAGCGAATGTTCATTTAGCAGTAGATTGAAATGCACAGTTTTTGAAATAAATATGTCGAGCACCGTATACCCTCGAACTTCAGAAATAATATTTATTTATTTATTTATAAGCACACACGAGGTGCATCAAAAAAGAAGAACATCAAAGAGAGAAAAATCAGAAAAAAAATGATGCCAGCCAGTCATAATCGTCAAGGCAAAGTAGAATGAATCACATGGTAGATAGAAGATATTAAGCTCAAGACCCCTAACACAAGGAAAAAAGGAGAGTGTACTAAGTCAGAAGACAACTCAGAAATCTTGCACCTTCAAAAGCACATGATAAACCCGTTTTTGGATGCCAGCGAGCCCCCCCCCCCCCCCCCGGTAAGAGCTAGCTGACGAGACCCCAAGAATAGTCTGTTTTGAAAGATGACAAGATTCTGTGTAAAACTGTTCAGTACAGATAGACACATGTACACAAGGTCCGGATGAATAACAAACAGCAATGAAGAGGTCTAAAGCTGCTAAATAAGCTCCGATGAGTAATCATTAAAAGATCTCTATGGAATAAAAACGGCTGGTATTGAAAGTGAGTGAATACACGAATGAGTTAGATACATCAACAAACAATAAAGAAACAGAAACTGCAGGATAGCAGTCGTGAACGAAAGACATAAAAAGCTAAAAATAATCAAATGAGGTAGGGATCAATTAGAAGCATATGAGAAGCAACACGTAGCGAAGCAGCACCCAACGCAACACAACTCATCGTATCGGTAGTTATACCGCGAGAAGCGAAGCAACTCAGATGAACTGAAACAGAAAGACACAGGGCAGAACTAAATATGAGAAAGTAAACTTGACCCGATCCACACTAGTAAGGCAATCGCACATCTCTTGAGAAAATGTCTTTGGGCAAGCAGCAACCATCGAAATAAAAATTGCAGAAAGCAGGAAACGAAGGAAAGAGAGAGCCATAATTAAAAAGCCATAAATTGAAAAACGTCCATCAAAAGCCAGTCAAGCGGTCCCTGAAAGGTCACCCTCAGATGGGAACAAAACGGAAAAGATGAAAACAAAGCCATTGTTGAGCGGTAATCCTCCATGTAGCATAAGCAAGCACGTAATTGCATCTCTGGAAGAATAAACACCTTTTCAATTCTTCTAACATCTTTCTTTCGGGATGGCGACCACACTTGTGAGCAGTACTCTAAATGAGGAAGCACAAAAGCCTTGTAAAGCCGAATCAAAATATTATCTGAGGTTGTACTTGTGTTGCGAAATAACAAAAAAAGGGAAGAATAAGCTTTGTGAATTGCCATATCAATATGCTTAGAGAAATTGAGCGACTTATCCATCAAGACTCCCAAGTCCTTAACAACATCACACACCTTCAATATGTGATCGTTTAGGCGATAGGGAGTCTCGGGCATTCTTCCAAGATGAAGGACAGAACATTTAGAAAGATTAATGTTCAAGTCCCAACGGTCAGCCCATCTCTGTAGTTCATCAAGGGACCTCTGCAAAGCACCCTGAACCTCTGAGGCATCGCTGGCATCATAAGCTCCGTACACTTTGATATCATCAGCATGCATTCGGATATGAATGCTAGGTGATGTCCTGAGCGCACAAGGTAAGTCAAATGTATAAAACAGAAAAAGCAAGGGAGCCAAGACACCACCCTGAGGAACACCACTAGTGCAGCAGTAACTGTCGGAAAACTGATGACCGACCTTAACAGTCATTTCGCGGTCTTGTAAGTAGGATTCCAACCATGACAAGAGATTACCACCGATACCACTTTTGTTCATTTTAGCTAGTAGCTTCTTATGGCAAACTTTATCAAAGGCTTTTGACAGATCAACATAAACTATATCAACCGATTTGCCTTCACTGGTTGCCAGGCTCCACTCGAACACACTATCAGCAAGATTTGTTGTGGTAGAAGCTCCAGTAAGAAATCCATGTTGTTCTTCAGGGATAAAATTGGAAAAACTTAGCCATTCTAATATAATAACTTCTCACGTATAATTTTTTTCATAACCTTAACGGGTGTGGGAAGTAAACTGATAGGACGAAAGTTATCAATCAGGGAAGCACTTTCAACTTTTGGAATGGCCGTTACTAGAGCTTTTTTCCACAAAGTAGGAACTTCTCCCAACAACATAGAGATGTTGAAAATATGTGCAAGGGGAGTCGCAAGCGAAGGCACACTTCAGGTACATTATTTGAGGAATTCCGTCGAAAGTTTCTGTTACAGAAGGTTTTAGTTTTTTCAAAAAATGATAGACATGCGAGGGATGAAAAAAGATAGTATTACAAGAACGAAAAGGTTGCAAGATAAAAGCATCACTCACACGTGTATCATCATCAACGAAATGAGCAACAGGGGAGAAGACACTAGCAAAATAGGACCCGAGGGTTTGTGCCTTGTCATTATCACTAACGTATAAGGTACCAGAAAGGTCTTTGAAGGTGGGAAGATTTGACGAGGGCTTCATCTTCTTTTTAAGATAAGAAAAGAGGTGCTTCGATGATACCCTCATAGCGCTTTCGTTCATGATATGATAGATATTTTCTCATGTGATGATTTATGTCGGCACAAACTTTCTTGTAATATGGATTAACCAAAGGATCGGGTAGCTGCTCAAAAAGTTCTTGCTTTTGCGCTAGTAAGTCTCGAATGTGTGGTGGCAGACCAAGAAGATGAGTGTTAGCTTTGACTTTCAAAGGAACGAATATACTAAAAGCTTGATAAACAATTTTGCAGAATCTTTCGTAAACATCAGAGCAGAAAGCCAATCAACTCGAAAAAAATAATTATCAAGAGAGGAATAGTCAACATCTTGAAAATCTGGCAAAGGAATTGAAGGAGCAAAAGAGTACATGAAGTCTATTTCAAAAGTAACAATTCTATGATCCGAAGATTCAAGAGGTGGTAGTGAGGTCATACGCGAGACAGCCGAGGAGGACGAAAGTACCACGTCAAGAGTATTTACACCATGGGTAGGAAAGGAAACGTATTGTTTTAGTCCACAATTATTCGAAGTTAAGGAAAAGGCCTGAGGCAGCATTAAAAGACTTCATGGCCTTCCAGTCAATTTGTAAATTGAGATCTCCAAGCATAATGGTTTGAATATTTTCGGAAGCACAGTTGCTAAGAAAGTCTATCAAGTCATCATCATCACTTCTGTTTGAGTTTGGCGCGATATACCGCGACAAATTGCAGTTGATAACCTCCATCTGGGTGAAAAATCTTAATTTTGAGCAAGTCCGCTTTGATTTCAGCATTTGCATTCAAGGATGTTGCAACGATGTGGCTCTTTATGATACAACAAACACCACCACCTTTGCGGCCCCGCCGGTCAGCGCGATAGATCATATATGGGAGACCGCTTATTACTTCAGAGTCCAAAATATGAGAATTTAGCCAAGTTTCTGTGATGAAAATGATGTCAGGCTTATATTGGCAAATGAAAAATTCTAAACTCGATTGTACCTCGCTGTCGCGAAATTTTGCCTTCAATTAGTGCTTGGTGAGAGCTGAGTTTACGATGAGGAGCGCAGTTGGACGAACCAGCAATATGCATCGACTGTAAACATATAAAAGGGTCAAGATTTTTTAAGCTCATAAACATCCCTGTGTCAGGAACACAGTATTTCAATAATTCCAAAGACGCGGTGCTGCCGTGCCAGAGATTGAATATGGAAAACATTCAAAGATTAGGAAAATCAATTCTTTCTTGACACGTGGCAGACTCCAGTCTCGATAAAATCTTTCAAATAGCTTCATCTGGAAATAGAGTACGTGTTAGAAAAACAATGTGTTGGAAATTGGGCAGTGTTAAAAAGGATCACAAATTATAGATACGCCTTGCACAACCATAGGCATGTATAGCGATTCATTAATTGCCTGCAACATTCAACTGAGGCACCCTCAATCAAAAGAAAGGCTCAATTATTGACAAATCTTCTTCACTTTCTATGTTGAATTTACAAAACATTGATAAATGGGAGTTTCCCAAATGCCGTAGACAATAGTTTGCATATTATTTCTCCTTTCTCAAACATAACAGCCAACAAAATAGCCACAAACTCGCAAATGTCACATAATTTTTTTTATTATATGACGTTTTGCTGGCATAAGCGAAGCGTTTGCTTAACAAATACTGCAGTTTTTCGCCTTAGGTTTGACAGCAACCCACCTCAACATGGATACGAGAGCGCTGTCGCGCCCAAACTTAGAAAGGTATGACCTAGATTATAATTGGCAAGTACATGCTCAATTCTAAAATGCATTTGCAGTGCCTCCATGCAAGTCTCTGAGATGAACTTTGGTTTAAATATGCTTCGGCAAAGTCCTGCAACTGAATCGATGGTAGTGTCACCAGTTTCGGTCATCTTCGCGCTTGCCATGGTTCAACTAGGTGCGAGAGGGCGTACAAAAATGCAAATCAATCGGGTGATCGCAGATGGTATGTAAAACAGCTAAATCTTCCACCTTCTATTAGAAAGAGCAAAAAAACTTAAGCAAAGAGCGAAGCAATTAGTGGCAAGGTAAAGAAAAGAAAGAATGAAGAAAGTTGAAGGGGCAAAGTATTTAGTGACTGCGACCCTTTGACAAGTGGTATACAGGGACCCTAGAAAATCATGGCGATTGCGGACTGCCCATCCAAACAAACGTCAGAAGAGCATAAAAGACGCAAACAAGTATCACTTTGATGCTCGACTCAGTCACTTCAAGCATATAGAAGCGATTCTACTAATTCAAAGATTTTGTCGAAAATGCCTTTGCGACGCCGCGACCAAAGCCTTTGTTATAATGAAAAATTTGCGCAAGCTTTCTTCCCTATTTAACTCAATGCAAGTCCAGAATCACATAAAACGAACGAAAATCCCGTTTTTTGAAAGGCTCGTGGAGGCAGCGCGGACGAGTTGTGCCTTCTCAGCCTAGCCTTCGCCACAATGGCAGCAATACCTTGAAGGTGGACGCCAAGTGTAGGGACATTTGAAACGCGTAATGGGGAAACCGGGACCGTCGACCGTTTGCTCCAAATTGCGCTTTGCTAGCCACTTCGAACTCAAATCTCTCGGCGTAGAAGGGCCCGAATGAGTCAAACTTGAAAAGTTCACCTGTTCAGGGAGTCCTCTATAAGAGTGTTGGGTCATTATACAGAAAATGCAATTTGTTCCTTTATAAATGCAACGCTTCTAATGTGGGTAGTGTGGTATTTCCTGTTTAAGGAAACAAGGGAGGTTTTGCAGTAAAATAAACACCGTCTCAGTTAAAGGCCTCCGGTATACTTTAAGCGACAGTCGCCGTGCGATCTGGCACGTTGTCAGATCTCTTCAAATCCAACACCGACAAGCTACCAATGCATACCTATAATATTTGTAAATCGACGAACGACCTTAGGCCCTGGTACCTCACGCTGTAATAGACTCTTTTTTGATAAGCACGGCGAGTTCCGGAAGGGAGAGAGTCAATTAATGGAAGATTTTGACCTTGAGCAAGATTACAAAACATTTACCATTAGAAAAAGATCAATAACATTACAGAAAATTGAAGTAAATCGAATGGTTACACGTAGATCCAACCATCCGTCGTTGGCCAGGAGGCCAAGATATTTATATAAAAAATTCTAACTTAACCTCTTAACCACAAAGAGTAATGAAAAGATGTTGCTTAGAAACACAATATTGAGATTGTTGAAGATTAAAAATAGAAGGGTGCGTTGATGATTAACAAGAACACATGCAAATCTGTCGATGACGGTTTGTAACAACACTGCGTTGACATGTTATTGTCGCTATCGCCGCTGGCAGTTTGAGTACAATCATCATATGCTATTGCTCTTCCATACTTCTCAGTCGGAGGTCATCATCGTCATTACAATGCCATTTCAGTCGCGACGTGATTTGGCACTACTCCAATTGTTCATAGCTCATCGTAAGGAGAGGACTTTGAATGTAGAAAGTAGGGCATTTTATCAATCTACGAAAGTTATACATTGTGCGCAACTGGGGTCTGCCAGTATTGAATCTAAAGACATCTAGCAAATTGCAGATCGCGTGGCGACGGAAATCGCTTAGAGTATGCCCAGGGCCTTACGATGAGTTTCACGCAGTCGCGTCGCGAGTGAACGTGAAGTATGCCCGGCCTCACGTGATGAGTGCTCAGGCTGTAAAAATCTTCTCAGTCAGCATTCAACTGTGCCGAAAATTCCTCACTGCACATTCACAAGCAATATCATTTTTAACAGATATGCAACCATACAGGCTAGATCGCAAATAATCCGCAATTCCACCTAACAAGAGAATGCTCAGAAGTCGAAGTGGATCCAAACAAGCTGCCTACCATTCGAATCGGGGTTCAACGCTGGTTCGAATATTAACTTAAACGTAACAACGTAACAAAGGTAAACACGCACTCATGCATGTGCAAGGGTGCGTATTTGTTGCAAATGACCACGGGGCCGCCCCTTTCAGCGACATATAGCCCTCTACCCAAACTTATGAGCAGTTTCATTGCGAAAAAAATCGTACTTAAAAACTGCGAAATTGAGCACATTCTTGCACTTTCAACTCATTTTCAAGCTTTAAAAATTTGAAGTAACCTACCTGCATGTTTTGACCCAGCGTTAAGCCGACTATGGCTCTGTGCTGTCGAACTTGCGCTTTGCATGCACGATTTTTTTTAGCAAAATACGGCCTTCAACGGCTTATAACTTCATCCACATAGGCACTGTGTAGATATAGATCGCAGATTCGAAGTTAGCGTTATATGCTACATCTTTATGCAGCATATAACGGCATATGGTATGTCTTGTTTGACTTGGCTACTTCGATTTCTGACTATTTCCTTGTAAGGATTTGGAAAGCACTTCACCTTTTTTCAACGTAATATTTTGTCCCGAGCTTGTTATGGCGTAATGCAAAAGGATCTGCGAGAGAACATTGTAATGTAAGAAGACCTCTTTCGAGAAACACATGATCATAGAAGAGTTTAACTCAATACTGCGCAGTTGTGCGTACAGCATTTCCGAAGTTGAGACAGGCAAGTGGAGTCGTGGTAGAATCTAATGAACTTCTCGTGCAGCCAGCAGAGTACACTAGTGATGATACCGGAGTCAAAGAAGCAGTTCGTGTAAAGTAGACATTTTAGGAGAGTTGGTGAGAACAGTAGGTTCAAGAACCATCGAATTTTGAGGTTCGTGGTAGAGAAGTTGCTTGATTACTGATATTCAGTTCAAGTTTCGGTTATAACCATAATCATCATCCCAAAGAATAAGGACAGAACGAGAGAAGTTGTGAGAAGATAACTTGCCATGACTTCACGCTAAACTTCAATCGTGCAAAAAGGACGGCCGTCTGGCTTGACTGCAAAAACTGACACAAAATTCAAGATACTTTTCACAAAGCTTGCGATGGGGACACAACAAAGTGATGCTGAATGAGAAGTGCGCATCGCTCGTTTACCGCTGGGCTGTTTTAATATGTACAACAAAAATGTTGGGTTGTTTTAAGCATTGGTGTACCCAGGATTTCCGTTCGAGAGAAAGGGGGTGACAAAAAATTTTATTGATGAAGGTGAGTGGCGTCAGCCACCCCCTTCGAAGAAATTTTTGTACACTTCCCAAAATTTTTGCGGGCCCCAACCCCGGTACGCCCCCGAAAAAAATAGTTTTATAAGGTTAAATTAGATTTTCAAAAAATTCTAAAAATCACTTAAATTATTCACAAGTATAAGTAAGTCACTTGTCACTCACAAGTCATTTTTATACTCATGTAAGTAACTTTAAAAATTCCGCGAATCATTTTCGGGGAGTTGAGGGCGCCACCCCCCCCCCCCTCCGTCCCCCCTCGGTACGCCACTGATTTTAAGACGTATAACAAAGCTTCCATCAAAAAATAAAACCGCAATGCCCGCCTCTGAAAGCTCGTTCTTGAGAGCTGTGCGAAGAGGACTCGATTTACTCACAAGGAAAGGATACTTAGTCGAAAGCACCAATCCAGATGAGACACATATCATCTTAAAGCGCTTGAAACGCTGATTCAAAATCTGTAGTTTTTAGCAGCGGAGCGGCTTTGTAGAAGGAGTTATGAGGGTTGCTTTCCTTCGGGATTGAGGCGCCCTCCAGCACGTCTCCCCTTACCCTACGGTACCAACTGGTAGCAACTGACTAATGGTAAGTAATTTGAATGAAGATTATATTAAGGATTATAATACTCGCATTACTTTGATTTTTTAACACTTCCAATTTCAATTAGCATCAATATCATCCGAAATTTCAGGCTTTAGGGCTTTAGAGCCATTTGAAAGCTCAAGAATCGCGACAAAGTTGCATGCGAAAGGATTAAAATCTTGACACTCTCCTTATCAAGCACGTCACTTACCACTAGGCCACTTGCCACCAGTTGGTACTTCTCTACAGTGCTCATAAATAAGGGGAGACCTGCTGGAGGGCGCCTCAACTCCAAAAGGAAACACCCCTAAAACTCTTTCTACAAAACCGCTCCGCTGTTAAAAACTACAGATTTGGAATCAGTGTTTCAAGCGCTTTAAGTTGATATGTGTCTCATCTGGATGGATGCTTTCGACTAAGTATCTTTTCCTTGTCAGCAGAATAGAATACTGCTTGGTTTTTAGTAGAAAATCGGTTCGTGTTTTCATGCCCATTGAAGCCAATTAGCAGAAGAATTGCATTCTGCTCAAAGGTAAGTGTGAGAGTAAAAAGGTGGAAAGGATAAGTGCAGTCGGCTGTTATAAGCCATTGTGCCGACAATAGAGGCCGTCTCAAAGCTATGTAAGCACCGATTGATTGTTATCTCTTTTCCTACAAGGCCTTTTGCCGACATTCAGGCACCATTCTGTAGAGCTGGCCTCGACGTAGATTTACAATATAAAGCTAAACCTCCATCTCTCTTTATAATGTAGGATCACTGTGATGACTGTAAAGAGTATAACAAGCCACTACCCCCCCCCCCCTTGAATTCCTATTCTAGACTACCCACGTCGCTGTTTCCAAGTAATTGCACTTTACCGTAATACTTCCTTTATAAGTTATACCAGGTATACAGTGAAAGCTATTTTTTTTGGTGTTTCTTGAATGCGATTGAACTATTTGAAAGGCTTTAGAAGCTTTCTTGAACTCTACGTATGCTGTTAGATATCTTAAGATTCTTTTGAGTATCCAATTCACAATGGTCGCTAAATGCTGGATGTTACCTTGATCCTATAGTCGTAAAGATTTAGAGCCAGCTCTACAAAATGGCACCCAATCGCCAAGAGACTTTGTGAGAAGATAAATATTGACGGCTAAACATCATACATATTTTAGGTTATCACATATATTACACCATGTATTATCTATGACATTCTGGGAAGAAAACCATAGCGCGTAGTAAACCCCCATACGTCTTAACTGACCTGAGACTAGTCATTCAGAAGAACTTTCTAGGGTAACTGAAACCATCCACCTTCCCGTACTCTAGGATAGTCAGTTAAAGGCAGCGTCCAGGCAAATCTGGACCTATGAAGCTTTCACTAGGAAAGTAATTTGAGGCCCTAAGTAAGACTCCGCCCAACCGGCAGCTGAGATAGTGCATTTACAGCTAAGATATTGGGCTCCAAACTATGCCCAGTGATCGTATTCGCATGGATTCGTGGAGCTTTCGGCACATGGATCCACGCGAAACTGATGTGCCGGTCATGAATCCATGCGAATACGATCACGGAGCATAGTTTGGAGCCCAATATCTTAGAGGTGAGTGCACTATCTAAGCTGCCGCTTGGGCAGAGTCTTATAGGGCCTCAAGATTACTTTCCCGTGAGACCCATAGGTCCAGATTCGCCTGGACGCTGCCTTTATACAATTAGAAGACCGTCCGGCCAAGTGCCACGGCCAGTTCAAAGTAATGCCACTTAGTCGAATGTGGATCCTAGGGTGAACCGAGGGAGATTGTGCAGACGAGGAGGACCGAACGAGTCTTGTAAGTTGGTCGTAAGTAACTTACGGGACAATTTGATTGACGTATTATCGTTTCTTTCTTTTCGCAGTTCGCTTAGTTTTTTTTTTGAAAAGTTGCATTATACGAGAACCTGTCTAATTATATATTATTATGTTCCAAAAAATGAAATTCTCCTTGAAATTCTTATTTTTGTTTTATCTGTCCATTTGCTAGGTGATATCCTTGACATCGGTCATCATCGATTTTTTGCGATAATGGCCGCTATCAAAGAATGCCCAGCGATGCCGCAAATACTCGCCAGTAACCGGCCTCGAACTGTGGCACCGCGCATTGAATCATAACCACTTAGCCCTTGGATGCTAAAGTGTTTTATTTTCAAGAACGCACAAGATCTTTAGGTCCAGAAGGCAATCGCATCATCAATAGTTTACCGGATGCCGGACTGAGGCGTACTACGTTCAACCAGGGTCAAGCAAGAGGTGTGGTACACGATCGATCACGACCCCCCCCCCCTCTTATTGCTGTCTCAATAAGACCCCCTAAATTAACAACCTAAGATAGCATTACTTGAAGGCCCTGTCAAAGACAAGGCCAACATATCCATAATTAGCATGTCAATTAACCCCTGTAGACAATGTTTGAGCGAATGTTGAAGTTTCAAAATACTGGGTCACCTAATGAAATCGCCATTTTCCAGCATGATCAGCTTCGTTTCAAAGATGAAGTAGCTATTTTTGCACTCAGGACAAAGCACTACTCCTTCTTTGACAGACTCAGGAATTAGAAGCCAACCAAAATCTTGTTTTCTTATTTTTCGCTTTTAATGGCTGTGCTTTCACCAAATATTGCTCAGAGCTAAGAAGACGAATCAGGCTCAAATCACTCCTATGAAATCTATGGATTCTAGGCTATCGATTCACATAAATAATGTTCGCTAAAAATGTTTTTAGATATAGTTAATGGGGTGGTGCCACACCTCATTTTACCTTCAAGAGATCAAATAGCTGCGTTTTTTATACCGTTGTTACTGCTTAACCTTCTTCTTTATATAGCAGAAATTTCATGTGAAAACGTTTCTTCAAGAGCAAGATATAATCGTTTTTCCTTACCTATGCAAATGTAAGATACTGGTAAAATACTGGAAAATATTGGGATACGGTAACATGCTAATTCTGCGCTACTACCTGAATCGCAAGGGAGACAAAATTGTGTATATTCTATAGCCTAAGCCTCTTAATCTACATAAAAGTAATTTGAGCTTGATTGGTCTTCTCTAGCCTGAGATATTAAAAACGAAAAATGGAACACACGAGATTTTGGCTTGCTCTTGATTCCTTAATTCGTAGGCATTTGATGTAGGACTCCTAATGTGAGCGAAAAAATAGTAGTTCTTTGTATTAAGTGCAAAAAAGTAGTTAACCTTCCTTTGAAACAAAGTAACATGTTTGAAAACGACCATCTCACTTAGGTGCAAACGACCATTCTTTGGAAACCTCAAAATTCGCTGAAATTTAGACCCCATGGGTTGTCTTATAATTACAAAAAGATGCTCTTATGCTTTATAATTATGCTCACTGTACGTATACGATAATGGGTCAAACATCAATGTTCTAGTATTTTGCATGACGGGCCTATTTGACATTGTTAACGAATATCATGTTATGCGAACAGCGGATGCCTTGATGACGAACCCTCCCCCTCCCTGATTTCTCAATACGACCCCCCAAGTATGGCATGCCACACCCCACGCTTGACCCTGCGTTCAACTTAGGCCCGCCTCAGCCGAGTTGCGCTAGACAACGGTTTACTGCGGGCCTATATGTCGTCATGCAGATCTATATGCAGCTTGGAAGTCAGAATCATACTCCGCAAATAATAGACCAGTGCGTCACCTCTAATGCGCAGAGGCTCGCATTGGTTCTACTCTTCGCATGCCTATCTCGTGCTCGCATAATGATAGCTCTGAAACTCACCACGCCCCGCCGATCATTACGAATAAATTGTAAACAATCATTCATTGAACTTTTTCTATGCAAGATCGATAACTGTAGGAGAGAGAAGATTCCTCCAGAAGATTGAAGCAATTTTAAATCAGTCGCTGGAGTTACTATATAGCTTGATAGTCGCATAAGGAGAATGACCACTGCGAGTTTCAGAGCAAAAATTCCCTCAAAATGTTAAGTAAAACCTTGAAAAATTGACAATCACGCAAATATTCCCTTTTGAAGCCGATGTCGCGTAAAAGTAGATTTTTTGCTCAAATTTTGACTGAAATCCATGGTTTGCGGATCTGCTCGTCAAATAAGTCCACGACTTTGCGAGAAGTTTAACGTATATTCGTTTAACGCATAGTTCTTAGAGGTTTCAGTTATCGCTTCGGCTTTTGCACAGTTTACCTACATGCTCATTATATGCTACGGCCAAAATTTCTAACTCAAAATCTTTACTGTAGCTCTACAAATTTTGTGACATACATACATACATACAGACAAGACAGACAGACGAAAAGATAGACACACACACTTCTGAATGAACAGCTTTTCTTAGAGAAGATTCTTAAGCAGAGGCCACTTTTTTAGTGCTGGTGGAGAGGGTGGAGAGCCAGTTGGGCATCATGAAAAAGGGTTAGATGTTGTTATCATACCAGTGCCACAGTTCCGCTTATTTTACTCTACTTAAGAAATAGGCATAATTATAAGTGAAGCTTATTCGTCTATTTGCCACAATGTCTCAGGCCACACGTATAGGCCGTCCGCGCTGCGCACGGAGAGCAATGTTGTTGCGTACATTGAAGGCAGTTCACGACTGGAAGAAGCGCAGAGAAAAACAGGCGGCGAGAGTGCACGAGGAAAGAGGAGTGACGCGCAATACACACCTTGCGCACTCTCCGCGCCCTACGCGGACGGCCTATAACATGTTGTAATTTCAAGGTAAAATACTTAACTCCAAGGTAATTATGATTTAGGAGCTACCGATAATACCATAGTAAGCTTCTATTCGGATCTTTTCAAGAACATTAGCGACTCACGTGGACCACAGGCAAGAATCGCTAATGGTTTCTTTATGAAGTAAGTTAGTCTGCTCTTTGTCCATAATTTTCTGAAAAACAAGTAGTAGACCGCTTACAGCGAGTTCAGAAATGGAAAATAGCAATAGGAGGTATATCTGGTTTAGCTTGGTTGTCTCACACAGTTGTAAACATATCCTAGTAACACAAAAGTGTCCAATAAAACAATAAAAGCATTCTACATACAGTCGAGTAGATTTCCTGCTTAATATAGTGTCCCTGCAGACGCGACAACGCTGGGGCGTCAATAAATGCCTTGCGAGTTCCCGAGCTAGTGTTTTTCAGTGTTTTCTTTGCTTATTTCATGCTTTTTAGGTAATTCGTTGCTGATAAAGAAGAAAAGGGTAAGTTAGAGAGTAGTTCCTGCTTTCTGGGAAGTTCTATCATCGCATATTCACAGATATCTACATGGAAGCAGTTCGCGTCAGCTTCTTGTCTATTTTTTTGTCATTTCATGTCTCTTTCTTCTTGTGAGGTACTACTTTGAACGCTACTAGGTTTTTACGATTGACTTATTGTCCTTATCACATGGAGTACTTGATTAAAATGCTATTTCTTATGGATGAAAGCCGAAGTTGCTGCAAGACAAGCCAACTAGCGTCCAAAGAAACGCCTCACAAGAAGGAGGAGGTTTGAAAGAAGAAGTGACAGAAGAAAAGGAGATGTCAAAAAAAGAAAGAAGAAAGAAGAAGCCGCGAGATGCTTCCACGTGGATATCTGCGAATATGCGATGATAGAACTTCTCAGAAAACAGAAACTACTCTTTAACTTACCCTTTTCTTCTTTATCAGCAACGATTCACCTAAAAAGCATGAATTAAGCAAAGAAAACATTGGAAAACACTAGCTTGGGAACTCGCAAGGCATTTATTGACGTCCCAGCGTTGTCGCGTCTGCAGGGACACTATATTAAGCAGGAAATCTACTCGACTGTAGGTTACTACCCAATGAATACACTCTGCACGTCAATTATTCGTCCCGCAGAGTGGCGGATTTTGATGGCAAGAGAATTTTAAAGGCAATGCTGTGAGATTTGGCAACTTTACACCCCTCCACGATGTCTGTAATGCTCCACCTCTATAGAATGAGAGTCGATCGCATAAGATGAGAGGAAAAAACGTTGTATTCTGCTTCAAATTCACTGTTGCCGCAGGAACGGCTTTTCAAGTGATCACAACACCATTATGACAGAGAATTTAAACGGCATCGATCCAATGCACTACAAAAGGGCAAAAGCTTTGACTTGAAGGTTTGAAGGTGTCCTGGCAAATTTGAGAGCACCCCAATTCCAACGCTGATTACAGCCAACGCGGCTAGAAATTGTGCTCTTAGGAATACAAGATCGCTTCGAAAGTTGCGACTTAACCGCGATACAGTTCCTCTTCAGCAAAGCAGAAAACGTGGCAGGACACGTCGACGCAACAACTGTCCCGGCGCAGTTTTTGCCTCGGCAGGACGACATTAAATTGAAAGGCAGCTGGGCTTGTAGAATTACAAACTGGCGCAACCTTCCCTTCGTCCTCGCGTTGTATATTTCGCTTATAAATGTTATTCGTCACAACCTAACATCTTGAAAAGGGTGCCATTAATTGCGCCTTTACAGTAGCGCCACAAATTAGTGCTCAAACTGCTAATTATGCCATGCCTAAAGTAAGTGTTACCAGGATGACTAGAGTTACCATCCCTTATCTTGCTTTCAGACTTTGGGCTACGGAGTTAGGAGAATTAGCACAGGAAAGGAAGAGGGGGGGGGATAGTTTGATTATATAATGTTGATAGGATTAGAGCAAAGTTCCTGCTATTCTATCAGTGAAATAAGTTATTCGTTCGCGATTAATGTTTCCAATCTCAAGATATATCCATCAAAAGCTAGCATTTCTTGACAAGATCCGGCTATCAATTCTTCGCACTGAAAGTTTCTCGTTCTTTTCTTTCATTCCGAGCACTTCCACCTGAGTAGCATGGAAGTTTATCAGCTGCTAGCCGAGAAACCCTTGTGATAGAAGTACCATGCATTACATAAAATTCTAAGTCTTCGAAATGACTAAAATCTTTGAGAAGTTGCTTCAATCTTGGAATTTTCGAAGTCTATAAAAGTATAATTGCAACCTTTTTCTAGCAAGACATTTCCAATAAAGGGGGACTATTCGAGCGTGATCGCCAAGAAGTATGGCGCTTCGATCAAGGCGTACGACTTCAGGCAGTCAGCAAAAACTGCTAGGGTATACTAAGTAGTTGGAATCAAAAAAACTCAAATTAGAAAAAGAATTTAGTTGATCGATAATTTTGTGAGTAAAAAAACTGATGGGAAAATCAAGAATTTCATTACCAAATCCGCAGTAGAAGGTATGTTTGTCCTATTATTGCCATTTTCTCATTTAAAGGGTTTTGTTTCAGATGCAGTCGCTCTTATAATAAATGCGATTTACTTCAAAGCCAAATGGTACCATGAGTTTAACAAACGGTCTACAACGAAGGCTGTGTTTTATCATTCTGCAGCTAATGAGGAGAAGGTAAAGAAACTGCTGCAACGCAATGCGTGCCTTGCTCATCAGCAACTTTTATTTGTTGATTTTTGCAGATGAAGTTTATGAAGGAGTTTGCAAAAAATCGCTTGTATGCTGAGAATGAAGTCGTTCAAGTTTTATCGCTACCCTATAAAGACATCCTATTCTTTCAATGTATTTTTGCCTAAGAAAAGGTGTGATGTTTAGCAAACCACGCTTGCACTCGTAGCTGTAATTTTAGATTCGGGATTGAGGAGCTTCGTTCAAAGTTGGATGGAGGTATGATTCAAAGTCTGCTTTCACGGTTAAGATCCACACTTTTAACGGTAAGTAAGAGTAGAAAACCTGATTACCTGCTTTTATCACCTTTGTAGATATCAATTCCCAAAATGAAATTGGAAAAAAGCTACAACCTGAAGAAGGCTCTGAAGGCTATGGGTGTTACCTACCTCTTCGATAGCGCATCCGCCGATCTATCAGGGATTTCAAAAGTCGGCCTGTATGCGTCAGACGCAAAGCATAAAGCTTTTATTGAGGCACGTTCCTCTTCTGTATTAGCTGTAACAATGAAACAAAGCAAAGAATTGCTTTGAATTAATGAACAAAAGCAAAATCTAGAAGTTTCGAAGTGTTTCATGTTGTGGGTGCAAATGGTTGACAGAGTGATGCGCTCGATAACATTTTTGCATGAAAAGATGGTCGTAGCGCAATTCATGAAGATTTGCGCTCTCAACATCACAGGCATGGGACCTGTTCACGCCCAAGTGCTGTCAGTACCGCTGAAACACTATATCACAAATTACTAGTCTACGCTTGTATCATTGCTTAATCATCTTCAATCAAGCACTACACTCTGCTCGTATAGGTTGACGAGGAAGGTACAACTGCAGCCGCAGCAACTTACATTAAAATAGGGAGATCGAGAATGAGGCCGATCCCCAAAAGGCCCAAAAAATTCATCGCAGACCACCCATTCATTTTTATTCTCATCAAGGATAAAAATGCCCTCTTCATTGGGCAATTTGTATGATTACCGTTTGTGCACGTATATTCACTTTAGTTGAATAAATATGGAAAGCATGAGATTTCTTTTCATTCAGTGATGTTCGCGCTTGTGTGAGCAAAGCAACGCCGTTTAGTCTAGGAAGATGAAAGAAAAATGGCTATTTTGTCAGCAAATTCAATATCGTTTCAAAGCATCAAATGTTTCAAAAGTTGATGTTCTAGAACTGCATGCGCACTTGAGTCCACTGACTTTGAACGTCATCACTTCAGCAAAGATGCTTTAAACTGGCTGAGCGTTACTCCTCCTTACTGACATTTCATATCTGTCTCTCAGTGGCAGGTAATTTTGTCGTATTTCTTCAACTATCAGAATAGGATGGGTTTATGAGCATTGTATCAACGAAAATCATTTGCTGGTTCAGCATAATTCTATTTAAATCACTGCCTTTGAAGTACGTCGGCGCTGCAGCTTTCTTGATGCCCTTCGTCAGTGATATTCAGCAACTGCAAAGCTGTAGTAAGAGACAAAAAAACAAGACTAGTTTACAGATCAAAGACAAGGACGGAGATGTACAGATTTAAGTCTGGCTCAATCATACATGAACTTTTGAAGCGAAAGGCAGGCTGATTGTTAGATAAGGTCAAATCCGCCTCACTAATTGACGAATTTCGAAAGGGAAACTAATCGATTGCGAATTGATATATAAATCTGCGTTCCACTTCTCATCACTGAACCTCATCACTTCCAAGGCCTATCATCGCCTATACATTCTCTGCAAAGGCAACATTTCCAAGCTCCAATGTACTTTTGGTAAAAAATACAGTACTTAATTTGTGCACCGTAACAAGCAAATAGCTGTTTACAACTAACAATAAGCCATTATACATCAAAGCGGTGTGCAATGGGAAATTGGACCATGAATAATTAAGAAAAACTAGTGTGAATTGGAAGCGGCAAATCTTTTTTTCTTAACACATGATTTGGAGGTCCCTCATGTAACTCTTAATTACATTGTAAATCTATAATTTCATTCTACTCCCCCCCCCCCCCTCCCCCAAAAAGTGTATCATTGCGATGCAGAATCTATAAGTCGTCCAAATGATGGGAAATGAAAATTTCGGGATACAATTGCATAATTTTTCAGATCGCTTTCTAATGGTCACTGATGGATCAAAGGGTTGGACGGCCACTGCACACATTATGTCAGTATTTAAGCATACGTAGATCTAAAGGTTAAAGCATTTGCCACGACCACTGGCAACATCTTGGAAAAAATGACTTTCTACAAGACTGCGGACGTATCGGCGTCTCCCCGATCAAGCGCTCTTCTGTTTCTCTTACCATATGCTGTCACTCCCATGCGCGGACTCTCTTGGGACGCAGCGATGCCCAGTCTTTGCGCGTCACGAATAGCGTATACATACTTCATGATTTTTTGGACAGGAAGCAATTGCATGCTACGAATCATCTATAGCTACTCAATCAAAAGATACATTGGCATCTCAAAGGACCCAGAGAGGCACTGGTGACCGCTAAATTTATCATTTATGCTGTCAAATGTTGAAAAAGCTGATTTGGTTGGAACTCACAGCGGAAAAAAGAGCTCGCGGAATCAAAGATGACCAAAAAATAATGAAACAGCCTGAGCGTACCGTTTGACTCAACTGGATTGGTGGCCAAGGCGGGGATCGAGGGCTAGAGAATGATCAGAGAGCACGCTCGCGAGGGAGACGCAGACTGCGTCGCCGGAGCAAACGGTCGCCTTCCAGCCGCCAATCTTTGAATCAAAGGGACGACTGCATACGCAAAGCCTTGATTGTGTCTTACGCTCAAACAGCTTCCAAGAGATTGATATTAATTGCGTGTTGTAAAAAGCTCTCTATTAGTTCAGTTCAAAAGAGAACAACAAATCTTAGAAAGGGTATCGTTCCTCTACACTACCGCTCGTAATTTTTGAAAAAAAAACGACGCAAAATCGCCCGATTCATGTGACACCACCGTAGCGTGGCCATATCTCGCCTCAGAGTAGAAGAATTCTTAGTTCAAGGGTATCATTCGACCAGCTCGTAGCGGCACATCTTCTGATATATAGAATTGCCTGTTTGGACACAATCAAAGGTCATTTTCCACAAATCATATTCGATTTTCGCTCACGGTACTTACTCGGTGTTCTTACTCATTACACTCACTGGGCAACCTAATGAGTAAAAATCTGAAACAATTAGTGGAATCTGACCTCCCACTGTGTCCAAGCGGGCACTTCATATATCAGAAGATGCGCTTCATATATCAGAAGATGCGCCGTCAAATGGTGCTCTTGGATCAAGAATCCGTTCACTCTGAAGAAGATGTGGCCATGCTGCGGTGATATCACATATTTCGGACGACTTTGCGTCGTTTCTTCAAAAAAATACGAGCGGTATTATACTTGAATTACACCAAATTGCCACGGAATCTACACTCAACTTTCACGGAATGCTTTGTCTATGTTCCGACACAAACTTGATCTTTTGACACCGAATAGCGTCTGTTACCTTTTGAACCAAAGTTGTGTGTTGTTTTACTGAAGTCATCATTAGAGAAATCGACACCACATTTCGGTAAAAAGGGTTCAGACATTCAGGTTTACTATGGAGCTACATAACATTGAGAAATTTTTTTTGCCAAGAGAAGCGTGGCATGCTGGTCACGGTTTTGAATGCGGTTGTACATCAAAAGATTTCCTGATAGATCGTTATAAGCAAGTTTCTTGCATCAGCTGCAACCAAAATGGATCTTTGCACTTCCAATATCATGTGTAACCAGCATGACGACAAACCCATTCTAGTGAAGTTGTAAGCAGATTCATACTTTTTGATCCATCATGCCCTACTTTCGCCAGTTGAAGCCAGGCTCTGCAATACGAAACGATATTTGTATTCCGGTACGCAGCCAAAATCCCAACGTTTCCGAGACATATTCGGATTTCAAGACTTTTATGACCACACTATATTCAATCAATCAGGGTTTATTTGCATAGAAGGTAGCCCATTAGTGGCTTCATAAACTTACATCGTATTTTCGCAGGAGGTTCGCAATCTGCGACCAAAAATCTGCTTAGAGAGAACCTGAAAAATTGCTTACAAACTGACCAATGTTGTTGCTGACGTTACACGCTACGATTGCGATAGCTACGAAGTAAAAGAATATCCAAAAAATTTTGTCAAACAATATAATGAGGTTTGCTTGACGTACTAAGCATGAGCATAACCGTTTTGTTTGTAAGCGTCCCATTGATTTCACTTTGAGCTAAATGGTCTCGGAAAAAAAAACAAGATGAAGAAAGCGGTTCAAGGCGATCTTCAAAAGTGTGGTAAATTAGTATGTCAGAAGAAACCTTGTGAAAGAGAGTTCGGTTACGAGTGAGTAAAAGAGTAAAGGTCAATGAGTTGATGGAGTTGGCAAGGTAATTTCCAAGGTATGGTTGTTTTGGATTTTCTTTTCACCTCTGATATGTTAATTAAAAGTATACGCAGTCTGTGTCAAATGTACTCTCGTTTGTGTGAGAATTACTGTCCGCATCCGGGTTTTGTCGTGGATGTTCCCTCGACGAGGCCAATTTCAAGAGAGCCATACGCACGCGAACGTGGGTAAAACTGGCATAACGTTAAAGTATGTTCGTACCAAGCCGGCAATCACAGGTAACCGCCCGTAGCCGCTGGTAATCGCGCCGCAAATCGCTTTCGTCCTCAAAAGAGCTTGAAATTATTACATTTTCACAACGCGGAAACTGCGTGTTACTCTCGAGAATGTACAGAAAAATCTAAGCAAACCTTTTACGTCATGGTGCAACTGGAGTTTAAATTTTACCCTCTAATATTACCATTTAACATTAAGAATAGTCCTTAAAATATCGTCGAAAAATCTGCTCATTATCCTCCAAGCATCAGTAAACTTGGCAATTCTCAATTTGCCGTGTTTACTGTTCGAAGACTTCTAAATACCTTTTTTTAAGACAGAGCTATAGCGAAATAGAGTTGTTTATTTTTCCAATATAGTATCTGAAAACGGGCCTATTAATGCTGATTCCAGATTTTGTATCCTTCAGAGGTAATTTCAAGCAATTTATAAAGATTTGCTTTTGGTTATTCTTGCAATTTTCCTTGATTCATG